TCCAACGTGTTCGTGTGGGAGCCACCCCCAAAGAAGTGGTGAAATTTGGATTTCTTCTTTCATTTTTTTCTGAGCAACCATAAGAGTTACAAAGATTGTGACACGTCTTTGATAGGTTTTCGGGTATGCCCTATCCGATTTTGAAAAAATTGTTCCAAAATTCCTACCACGAAAGGGCGCACCCCTACTTGGGGGTGCGAAAAAGATTCTGATTTCGACGAAATTTGGTATCTGGGGTTTCTGAACATGAAAATGGCGATCTGGAATTAGTTTTTGAAAATTCGAAAAAAAAGTTCCACTGTAATTCTTGGCCGGACAACGAAAATGGAGAGAATGTCACGAAATTTGTTCTGTACATACTTGAGTTAAGGAACAAAATTGTCGAACAGTTTCTAAAAATAGCTTTTCAAACAAAAGTTATACTTATTTGAAGATTGGGCCTTCGGGTTACAAAGTGTCCCCCGCCTACTAGTGAGTGATCTAATTTCGCATGTAGTGAATTGAAAATATCGCAGATAACAAAAAAAATAACGGTTGAAGTCGACACAAGGTGACCTCTAGCAATTTTTATTAATTTCATGATCGTACCGGGGGAACTTATTAGCGTCACCTAAAAATCTCTTAGAGCACTCAACTAAATTTCTTTTACAGAACTTGACAACTGGCAAGACGAAATGTCTAGCAATAGACGCTGAAATACGTCAAATTGCAACGAAACAGCGTCCACCAAAAGGCAACGATTTTCGTCTTTTCTATTTACAACAATTTCTCGTTCTTTACAACTTTACAAAACCATCTTCTCCCTCTTACCAAAACTACTGCGTCGTCGAATAACTAACACCTGTATTTACGTCGGAGAAAAAAAGTTCTGCTTAACTAACTTAATTACTGTTACGCGGCGATAACACTCTTATCGCAATGACCGGGATACGATGAGATAAAATTTTACAAAACATTACACGCAAGTCTATCTGAACAACATAATAAACAAATTAACTAACACATCATTAAATATAAATAAATTCTAAATAAAATCAACAAGGACTGCACATTGAAATGATATGATCGAGATTGTGTTCAATCTCAAATTGGCGATCACATTTAAAGTTCATAATAATTGAAATTAAACACGTACAGAGTGACCTAACATTACCGTAGGTGCTATCCGCATAACAATATATATAGCAAGTATCTTGCCTGAACTACATGCATGCATACACAGTAAACCAATATCGGATATGCGGCATTTCGATCACTATACGAGACATAAGGAGCACCTTTTACCACAGGCACTTACAGAGAGTAACTGCTTTCGATATTGGGCATGCGTCTCTTAAGTGCCCCTACCTCTAAAAATAAACTTAGTTGAGTCACGATTTAATGTGCCTATTCCACAAAGCTGGCTTCCACTCGGGCGGCTCGGTTTCGGTTCTTTGGTACGAAAAATTTTTGATTCCACAAAAATGCGTACCCAATTCAGCGAAGTTGGATATTTATTTGTAGGTTTAAGAAAGTCTTTTCACATTTTTTTAAAAGCAAACTTTAATAACAAAATATATACAAAATGATAATTTCCTGTCAATGTGCAAAACCTAGTTGCCAGATTTAGATGCCGATATGCTGGTCTAAACTTCGAGCAGCTTTAGTGTGAGGCTGGATCAGCTTTGGGAGATGTGTGGTGTAGATTCTCAGAAGATAACCACTGCTCAATAAGTCAGTACCATCATACCCGAGATGCCCTCAACAACCGCATTGATACCTAACTGTGCTTGAGTGTAGTTCTTGCTTCCACGGTGCCATTGGAATGTTCTTCCTTGGGTCTTTTGTTTTCCGTCTGTGCTGTTTGATGATTTAGTACATTTCTGTTAATCTTATTTCCAGCGGGTAGCTTACTGTTTCTTCTTCAGGGTGTTAACTGGTGTTTCCCCTGCTGAGTTCGTGGTGAGGATTGTGATTCCTTTCCATGTCCCAGCTTGTTATGTGGTGACCTCTAGTTCTTTCTGGATAAAATCCTTGAATCTTTCCTTAAATTCTGGAACTTTGAAGAGTTTGGTGTTCCCATTCATTTGCCATGTCATAAACAAAAATTTTGATGCCAAAACCCCTCTATTCCACGACCATTGTTTAATTGGAAGTAACTGAATCATTATCAATACCTGATTCTAACTCAGATTCCTCCATTGAAATAATGAAAGGTGGATGTTTTCAAACGAAATATTTCCCATTTATTTAACACATGTCCATGAACCTAGCAGAGCAAGGTCAGTAGAACACAATCAGACATATTGGGTAATTAGGTGCTAATTAAGTGCCCTATTCCCGAATTAAATGCTCCTCTTTTTTTAAATTATTACATGTTTTGCCAGGTTCATATGAACTCAGCATTTTACCTTAAAAACCCAAGAAAATTAAAAGTGAACTAACTAATAATTAGGTGCTGATTAGCTGCTAATTAAGTGACCTGTTTTCAAATTCTGTGCTCTTCCTTTTTTTTATTTTTACTTTTACTATTTACATGATTTAAGCAGACAGGCACTGTGTTTACTAAAACAAATACGTCTTTAAGTGTTCTTGATTTGGTGCTAATTAATTGCTTTAAACGCAAAAAGTTACAAAAATTGTTCGTACAAATTTTACAAAGGCGTACTTCGAAAACAAAATTGCTATATTGTGCGTTGAATTATGAAAAGTGCAAGCGTAGCACGGGCAAGGGACGTAGGATGCTATATGATACTTGACAATTAAGATAAAACCTAATTATTAGTTAGTTCACTTTTCATTTTCTTGGGTTTTTAAGGTAGTGCTCTGCTGAGTTCATATGAACCTGGCAGAACATGTAATAATTTTTTAAAAGAAAGGAGCATCTAATTCGGGGATAGGGCACTTAATTAGCACCTAATTAGCACCTAATTATAGTTAGTTCACTTTTCATTTTCTTGGTTTTTTGAGGTAGTGTTCTGCGGAGTTCATATGAACCTGGAAAAACATAATTTTTTAAAAAAATAAGCATTTAATTCGGGAATAGGGCACTTAATTAGCACCTAATTATGCAATATGTTTGATTGTGTTCTGCTGACCTTGCTCTGCTAGGTTCATGGACATCTTCCGAAATTAGTTTTTCACAATGATTACAAACATTTTGCCATATGTCAGAAGTACAATTTGAAAGAGCTTCAAGCCATAAATTTTTAACCTTATCCTTGGATGAAAGCTGAGAATTTATACGCTTGTTGTAGTAAGTTTTACAGACCCCCATGCCATTTCAATAGGATTGTACTGGCAATGGTACGGAGGCAATCTACAAACTTCGTGCCCATTCTCTTTAAAAAATTCGTCAGTCACGTAACGTTTGTTATTGTCTTTCCTAAAAGGTTCAATTAAACTCCACAAAGATAATTTTTGGTAATTTTGCCCTCAATTTTGACATTGTGTTTAATCCTGCATCTGATCCTTTTTCCAATTACGTGAGGGTAATTTTTCCAACTGCACCGAATGATACGGTGCATTGTCCAAGATCACCACACATTTACCTTGAATTTTGTTCAGAGCAGGAAGTAATTGATTAACCACCCAATTTTGAAAAATCTCCCCGTTCATAGTTTTGTGATAATCCTTATCGTTACTATTTGACGTTTGTAATAAATTACACCCTTCCAAAAATCCAAAACAAGACGCCGCATGCAAAACAGTAAAACGCTCCCCTTCTGATTTAATTTTAGACGGATTACTTTTAATTTCAGAATCGTGTACCCATTTTCGGACAATGGATCCAAGTTTCGCCCAGATATACGAATGTTATATTTTCACATGAATTTTGGTATTGCAAGAATTTCCTCAAAAATGTAATTTTGGATGTTTCTGTTCACAGAGAATTTTACGTCCATTTATGTTTGTATTTATAACCTATGGATTTTAGAATGTCATATAAAGTAGTTTTCCCCTTATCAAAATCAAAATTTTCCCGCGCGTCCCTTAGTAAGTCAGCCAAAGTAAAGTGTTCATTTTGCGAGTGATAATTCCAAATCAGTCGTTGCAAATCTTCCCGAAATGAAAAACCTAATTGCAGATACAGCATGTTCATGATACCAGACTAAGAAATAACGAAATTTCGTCGAAATTCGAGTTTTTCTCATCCCAGTTTACGGTAGGAATTTTTTTTCGTAATCTGGGATCTGACGCACACTCTATATCCTATCCAAAGACGTGCCATCAGTCTCGAGAAAAAATTAATATAAACTGCTTTTTAGGGGTAGTTTCCAAACAAAACATTCGGCTTATTTGAATAAAGTAAATATTTGCTTTTGTCGCCTCTATCGTCCCATTTTTTTTGAACACTCTATATATCATGTTGTTTTAAAACATGTTTTTAACTTTCACAAATCTGGGAAATTTAAGAGTAGGGCAGACTGCAACAATTTCTATAAGCCCCTGATTCATTCATGACACGTAGAGCTCACACGAACTCGTAGGTCGCACATCATTCGCCAGATCATTTAGCAAGCATATCCGCTTGTTTATCTAATTTTTTTGTTGTGTATCAAAATAGATGTTGTCAAATACTGTCATGTGGTTGGCGCTTCTTTCACGCCTTTCCTTAACAATTTCGCGCAGGTAAAACAAATCTGGCGTGTAAAAATAGAGTGGAATGATTTTTGAACTGGAAAGATCATCTTAAAAATTGCAGACATTGTTCACATCCCATTCCAAATTATTTATTGTGTTCATATTTCGTGCCAAATTTTAAGTCGTTGCTGCGCACAAACTCCGTCCGCAACAGCGGCGTTGCAACGCCGATTTTTCGTTTCGCTCGCATTCGAACGCGAAATTCGAGAAATTTTCGTAAATTCGATAATGTGTAATGGGATAATTTCTATACAATGTAAATAAGTCGGACGGTGTCGAAGCATAATAATCGGCAGCTGTATCGTATAGCATGGATCTTTAAATAGATACGCCGACGTTCGTTCGTCCTGAAGGCCCCTCCAACGAGGTGCTGCAGGTCCCGATGCGGGAGATTTTTAAAACATTCTACGCTCGCAATTCGCAAACGACCGACGTCTTGGTGATAATACCAAATCGGGGATGATAACTTGACTTCTGCTAAATGAAGTCGTGGAAGCAATCGAATAGTGATAGAGAGGAACTTTTAATTAATTTATACGAACAATTTTCTTTCGTGTTTGTGTAGTGATTGTGCTTTTCTCATTATAATTTTCGCTTTGTTTTTGTGAGATTTTTGTGGTTAACATGCATCATCGACAGCAACAGCAACAGCAGAGTCAGCAAATGACTCAGCAAAGTCAGATTCAGCAAAGTCAAACTCAACAGCAAAGAATGAGCCGTACGGAGACTCGACAGTTCACCACCCATCAAACAGGTTAGCCATCTCCAAAAAACTGCCCTACTTTCCTTGTATGGTAAAGTTTTCTTATTGCAGTGTTTAATATAAATAGAAGATGACTACTAAACTAATTGCCAAAACGCTCCCTTCCGCTAAATTTAAGAATTACTCATTTTTGCCTTGTCTTCCTCAAAAATTCTAACCGCCGACCTCTTTCGCCCCCAAATTACATTAGTCGTTTTGGCAGTCATCCTCTAAAATAAACCAAAACTCTCTTCAATTTGAGTGCCAAAAAAATGTATCCAGTTAACAATATCGTATTTATAAATTAAATTAAATTCCCGGTTCATTAGCATTTTTTTCGACCATGGTCCAAATGGAAAGTAATTAAAACCCTGTTGACCATCACGTGCCAAAAGTATCCCAATAAATTTTGCAACTTGTCAATTAACCAAAAAGAAAAGCATCAACCCAACTATTTATTGCGCATTAATTACGACGGGAAGCTTTACAAAAATTAATCACAATCTCATCCACAATCGCGCGCCGCATGTCACATCTGAAATTCAGATTTTATTGGTGAGATAAAGATAGCTGCTCCAAAAATGGCCGGCGGTAACACGATCCAAGAACGAAAATAGAACGCGTCGAACCCCCATACCGTCGAGGAAAGTATGCCGAATATCTACCTACATTCTCCCGTTATTTTGGGGTTCTGTACTTAGTGACAAAATGTAATTGCGTGACATGAACGGATTTTGGAACAGAAGGCGATTTTTATCAAAATCTTTTCGTATTTTTAATTTGAGGAATTAGCCAAGCCAGCAGAAATTTGAAGTCACCGGTTAAAAATAATTTCCCGAAACAATCAACAACACATTTTTAATATTTTTCATCTGTATCATTTGGCCACTGATTGCCGAACTTTCAATAGATAAATTTTTCCCTCGATTTTTTCACTATCCAAAAATTACTGTCGAATGATTCTTTTTTTAAAACTTCAGGAGGTTTTGTTGTATGTTTATCAATTATAATTTGTTTTCAATTTTTGTCACTTATGAAAGACAAAAACTCAAACTTTTAGTCCTATACCTGTGATGTCATTGAAGTCCATAAAAACACTAGAAATTGGTGGTTGGAAAGCTGTATACCTATTACCAAATATTGCTCCTAAAGTTCTGACGCCTATTTTCGGTACAGCATTTGCGCCCTTTTTTCAATTTGAAAAATTCACATTTAAAAGACCTTTTGAAAAGCCATCTACATTAAATTTGCCTTGATGAGTCATAACCATCATTTTTTATGTAGTAATGTAAGCGAATACTTTCCATACGTGCGTATTTTGATGATTTTTTTAATACCTTAGCGGGGGCGAGGGCCCTCTCCTGCCCCTTCAAATGACAACCCTGTTTCACCCCTGCATTTCTCTTGCATTTGGGAGCATCAAAATAATTTTTGAATCCAAATTTTCCTCTTACTTGATATCAAGGTGAAATAGCTAATTAGTAATTACCTACTTTTTAAAAAATCCTGTTTTTTAAATACATACTTGAAATATTTAACATTTTGAACGTTTTGAATTGGCGCCAATTCCAATTTTCTAAAATGTTTTTCATAATTTTAATTAGCAACTGAAACAAAAGCGGCGTTTTAATTAATTTTAATTTTTGTAGTGCAAACTTGGTAATTATTCAGTTCAATTCGTGTTTATTATCTAAAAAATGTGCATTTTTTTTCAATTTTTAGCACAGTTCAACTTATGCCAATTTTTTGTAAATTTTGAATTGAATTTTTTTTAATCGTTTGACCTGAAAAGGTATTTTTTAAGTGCCTCTTGTCAAAGAAATTGGATAGAAAAGCACCAAAAGAAACATTTTAATAATTAGATTACAGGTCCAAAATGTATTGTTTTTTTAGAAAATATTTTTACAAAAACGAAAAGAGCATTTCCAAAAACCTTCCCTTCATCATCCTATATGTTATGGTAAAAATTAAAGATGAAAAGCAAAGTTTGAGATTTTTTGGAGGGGTAGGTTCCAAACGATCCGGTTTATTTAGAAAAAATAGTTGTTTTAGTCACTTTCTACAACCAATGTTGATTCAGTTTAGTGTCCTTTTGAAAACTGAACAAAAAATATTGATCTTCTGTTTTTTTTAATTACTTTGTTTATGTCTGCACCAAAGATTGTAAACAGAATAATTGCGGTTTTTTTTCAGTTTCTTAGTCGGGTCATATACAGGGCCTGCAACAGTGCATCGGTCTTTCTTAGCTCGTACCTGATAAAAAACATTTAGTGAAAACGTCAACTATCTATGATTGCGTATCTACAGAAATTATTTTGGAATGTACAGGGGGTCCCATTTTTACGGTGTCAATAAACTTTTTTTTAATAGAACACTATATTTGTACTCATTTCCATGTCATTTAGTAACCTCTCCTTGCAAATCTATTGTCAATAAGTGTCAATATATAACTGATTTTTAAAAAATAGAACACCCTGTATATTTTTACTCGTTTCCTGTTAAGTTTTTGGTTTTTTGTCAACTTTGCAATCATAAGTAAGCCTCACTACCTTGATTCTGAAGTTAAGAAATACATTTGATCATGAATAAGATGGCAACGTTAACAAAAAACCAAAAATTTAACAGGAAACAAGTAAAAATATACAGGGTGTTATATTTTTTTTTAAATCAGTTATTTATTGACACCGTAAAAATGGGACATGTAATTTCTGTAGATGCGCAACCATCTACAGTTGACATTTGCACAAAAGGTGTTTTTTTATTTTTTTTACCAGGTATGAGCTAGTAAAGACCGACGTACCATTGCAACACCCTGTATAATATCAAGAAATTTGGTGGAGACACGCTTTTGTATTATATCGAGAAGGCATCAGATACGAAATTTCGTCCAACTTTTTTTTCATCTTCGTGGTATAAGAATTTTGAAAACATTTTTGCAAAACAAAACAAAAAGAGCATACCTAAAATCTAGGCAAATTTCATCCTCCTATTTGTTATGAGGCAAAAATTAAAGATAGGAATAACTCATTTTTAGTAGTTTCGAAAAAGACCATGGACCAATTGAATTAATTCAAAAAAAACTATGCTTTTACGCTTTTAGGAATTTTGTTATATTCATTATTATGATTATGACTGTATACCAGGTCTTGTTTTGTAAAAATCAGCAGAATAAACCATTCTTCGATTTTTCAATTTTTTGGAATTTTTAAAAAAATAGTTCTAAATGTGTAATGGTTTAATTTTTTAAAAAATTTAAAATTGATCCGTTCTTTTTTAATTTATTAAAAAAATGTCTTTGTATAGATCTCTATTTCCCAAAAACTCGGTAACACTTCTCATAAATTTTATTTAAATAGTCGTTTGATTTTAAATTCAAAAATCAAAAAGTAGTCTTTTGGGCAATGTAAGTTTGATTTTTAAATTTATTTTCCCAAATCGCACTTTTTTAGGTCGGTTCCAAAAATCTCAAAATCCCTTTCATTAACAATTTATAAATTCGCCCAAAGATGATTAAAAAAAATTTTGTTATGCAGATACCGAAACTTTGTTTTCAAAAAACTTGGCCCATATCTTTATTTAAAATTTGTTTGTTTCAATTCGTTGTTAAGATTTGATTTTAAATTATATATATTTTTTTAATAATCAAACGACTGGTTTTTTAAATTTTCTGTTCAAAAAATTCAGTACCCCGTTCGCTACCTATTTAAATTCTTTTTAGTGTAAATACAAACAAATATGCCTATAGCTTTAAAATTGGTTTGCTTGAATTAGTTACTAAAATGTATCACGCGTTTCTTTAGGATGAGTTTTATATTTCAATACCAATTCGTAAACATTTTGTTAAAATATCAAGGTTACACTTTAAAAGAGCTTCAACTGAAGTTAATTTGGGAAAATTTCTTCAGTATGCGGTCCCTTAAATCAGTTGAGTTTTGAAAGTGTTATGCGCTTTTTTGAATCAGTTTTAGGATTGATTATGAACTTAATCTCCAATGATTTTAAATAAAACTATCAAGCAACTTTTAATTCTAAATATGTAATTTTTCATTTAAATTTTTTTACAGTATTCTTGAGATTTTTTAATGGAGATAAAAAAAATTCAATGCGCAAAAAAGTGCCATCTATCCCTTTGTCTTATTTTAAAACTTTTTTTTTTTCAGTTAGTAGTCAAGGATTTAAGTTCGAGCTATCCTTAAAATAAGGCCAAAAATAAATAAATAAATTATTTTAAAAAATGGCCCAGCCAAAAATATGTAAAATACTGAGTTTTTTGAATGTAAATCTTGAAAAAACTTGGTACATTTTTTTCAAAATACTTTTGTTAAATATCTTGTTAATTTATATTTTTAAGTTAAATTTTAGTTTTTGAAAATACTCAAGCAATCTTAAAAGCATTGATTGGAGTTTTTTGATTTATTTTAATCGCTTTGCATAGGTCTGTGGTATATTTGCCAAAGACAATTATCCCAATGCTTTTCTTTGAAGCTATTTTTGATAAACTCATTAAAATGAGATTTTAATTCACCTTATAAATTTAAAAAAATTTGTTTCACTAAATCATCTTTATGTATTTAAGTTTTTTGTGTTGACTTTTTTACTTTTGGATTAATTTTATTTTTTAAGTTAGCAAGCAATATTTTGAAAGTTGGAAATGTCTTTCTTGATCCTGTGTTTACGAATGCCTCTTTGCCTAAATCTGTTCCGGGAATGTCAACGACCCATTTGTTGACTATTTAACGGATATTTAATTAAATAACTTCAAAAATAAAGAAAGTATTATCAAAAAGGTTGCTTCCATTGTTTCTTTTTTTTGTCCGATTCACATAATATGATTTTAAGTTAGATTTTGTTTTTTTTCAATTTTTTGTGTATTCCAATACAAATTTTAAAAAATTTTATAAACTTTAATTTTAATGAATCACGAATTTCAAAAAATCTCTTTTCAATATAGCTTCGATACATATGGAATTTCCATACATGAATTTTTTGTATGTATCAAAAAAGGTTCTCCATCATCGTTGTATGATTTTTTCACACTTCGCCATCAACATTATGGGTGTTCTAAACTCAGAAACTTAAGGGAAATGGAAATCACCTGCTGAGCCGGTGCATATTTTTAAACTGAAATATAAATTTTGGATTTGGCGTTGCACAAATGTTTCAAAAGATCATTTTTTTAAATAAACCAATTCGGCCAATTGGTTTTTTGTATTTATCTTAAAAATCAAAGGGTTGCATAATGAAGTTCCTTAACAATTCCAGACACAACGCGAACAAAACTTGAGATTTGCGTTGATATGTCTATATACTAACCTTCAATTTGCGCGTTATGTTAATTTTTTTATTTTTTTACAGTTCAAGAAGGACACATGCAGGTATCCGGGCAACACATGATAGATCAAGCTGGTTTGCAACAAATTGGATTTGGTCCAAATGCAGCGCCACCGATGTTTGAAAAGGTTTTCCAAAACGCAAGATTCGCCCAAGGTGGTAATGCCACCTTTGACGGTCGCGTTACTGGAAAACCCCAACCGACAGTCGTGTGGACCCGCAAAGGAGCCCAAATGAGAGATTCATCCAAATATCGCATCTCCTACAACGATCAAACTGGCGACATCACTTTGGCCATTTATCAAATCGGGCCCGGAGATGAAGGAGAATACACGTGTTCCGCAAGAAACCAATACGGAGAGGCGGTTTGCTCCGTCTATATTCAACCCGAAGGTTTCCCGATGGCTCAGCAAGGTACCCAGAAAACACAAACCTTCAAAACTTCCGAACATAAGACCACCAGCACTGCGCACGGTACCACATACCAAAAGCACCAAGAATCTTCTTTCTACACCAACGGCACGGAGCAGGAATTTAAAATAGATACATTTGAATATCGTCTTCTGCGCGAGGTGTCATTTCGAGAATCCATCACTAGAAGACACGCAAGTGAAACCGACGTGCACGTATCGACCACGGTGGAAAGATCGTTAGGTCCACCAGCTCCGCCACAAATAACTCAAAAGCCTCGCAACTCAAAGTTGTTGGAGGGATCCGATGCAGTGTTCAGTGCAAAAGTTGCCGCAAATCCCAGACCGCGCTTGACTTGGTTCCGAAACGGCCAAAGAATCACGCAGTCCAATAAATACGAATCCAGTTACTCCAACAATCAAGCAACACTTCGGGTGAAACAAGCCCAATCGGAAGACTCCGGGCATTACACGCTATTAGCCGAGAATCCCCAAGGGTGCATTGTATCCTCGGCGTATTTGGCTATCGAACCAGTAACCACCCAAGAAGGTTTAGTGCACGATGCGACATTCCCAGTGCACCAAATTGAGGAGCCGTCGGAGACGGCCAAGACTCTTGCACCTAACTTTGTACGAGTGTGCGGTGATCGGGATATTACAGAAGGTAAAATGACACGTTTCGACTGCAGAGTTACAGGGCGTCCCTATCCTGAGGTTACTTGGTTAATCAACGGGCGCAAGGTAACTGATGATCACAATCACAAAATACTCGTAAACGAGTCTGGTAACCACGCACTTATGATTACGAGTGTTGGGCGTAACGATTCCGGAATAGTAACTTGCGTTGCCACAAACAAGTCTGGAGAGACCTCTTTCCAGTGCAATCTGAATGTTATTGAAAAGGAGCAGGTCGTTGCTCCGAAATTTGTAGAACGATTTACCACGACTAGCGTAAAAGAAGGGGAACCGGTAGTTCTGCACGCTAGAGCTGTAGGAACTCCTGCCCCACGAATCACTTGGCAGAAGGATGGTGTGCCATTAACTCCAAGTCACGAAATACGAATCACGACGGACAACAGTGGATCCTCGACATTGGACATTTCGCGAGCCAAGGCGTCGGATGCTGCATGGTATCAGTGCACCGCTCAGAATGTCGCCGGGTCCACTGCAACACGAGCACGTCTGTTCGTCGAAGTACCCCAAGGACCTATGTCGGAACCTTGGCGTCTACATCTTCCCCGACCGACTAAAGTTATTGAACCTGAGTAAGTATACGCGCACTTTGAAACGAATTTCGCTCACTGTTTTCTGTGTAGACCCGAACCTGGTCCTGAGGTGATCTACCTCAAACACATCGAGCCCGCTCAACCTTACTATCCCAGGGCGGAAGAGGACCGGGTATATCCACCTCCGCAATTTATCATTCCCTTGCGCGACGTAATGCAACTGGAAGGTGGAAAGGTTCACTTCGAAGCAAGAATCGAACCTGTAGGTGATCCTACGATGCGCGTGGAGTGGTTTGTCAACGGAAAATCATTGGAAGCAAGTGAGTATTACGACCAGTTAGTAGGGCGCGAAATTGCATTGTATGATTTTAGGCTCCCGCGCGACAACAATTTTCCGCTTTGGATTTATAGCGCTTGACTTGCTCAGTATTACTATGCGTGATAGTGGCGAATACGTCTGCCGTGTAACCAGCGCTACAGGTTCCACGGAATCACGTGCCACACTGGGCGTGACCGCGCGCGCTTCAATCGAACGTACGAGTCAGCACCCCGACAGCCTACAGTACATTCAACAACTCGAAGACTACTCAAAGTACCAAAGGACCGATAGCCTCGAAGAGACTTCATCGCAGAAACCGCACTTCATCCGTCCACTCCAAGATCAGGGCGCTCTCCAGGAAGGACGAAACGCGCACTTCGAAGCGCAATTAACACCAGTGAGCGACCCGACGATGAAAGTGGAGTGGTACAAGGATGGAAGACCGATCACGGCCAGTTCCAGAATTTCGACCATATTCAACTTCGGTTACGTTTCCCTAAATATAATGCACCTACGTGCCGAAGATGCCGGAACTTACACGGTGAGGGCAGTGAATCGTATGGGAGAGGCTATCAGTAATGCAAACTTGCAAGTGATCGTGCGCTCAACGGTCACAAGCGACTTGGGAATACCAGAACAACAAAGGTACATTGAGAAGGTGGGCGAGCTGGAAGCGTACCAGCAGCAACAGCACCACAAGTACGTTCAGGAAACTCCCGAGAGTTCCCAACCGCCCGAGTTTAAAACGCCGATCAAAGACCAGCACGGAATACGCGAGGGCGGTTTCGCACACTTTGAAGCGCGGCTGGAACCCACCGGTGACAGCACGTTGAAAGTTGAATGGTTAAAGGATGGACGACCGGTAGAGGCGAGCTCGAGAATGACGACATTTTTCAACTTTGGTTACGTCGCCTTGACGATCAAGGCCGTCACCATTCACGATGTCGGCAACTACACCTGCCGCGCCTACAACGCTTTAGGCGAAGCGGCTACCACCGCGCAACTTAGCGTTGTCAGCAAGAAGGATATAATCGTCGATTCCCAACATCCCGGCGGATTGCAAAAGATACAGCACTTGGAGGACTCGACACGGTACACTCGCAAAATGGACGAGGAGGTTACGGTCACGCAAAAGCCTAGGTTTTTGGGGCCGCTGAAAGGGACGAACAAAATCGTCGAGGGACAACGCGCTCATTTCGAAGCGCGAGTTGAACCGCAAAACGACTCGACCATGAAGTTGGATTGGTACTTCAATGGAAAGTTAATCGAGAGTGCCAATCGCATACAAACCTACCATGACTTTGGCTATGTCGCCTTGGATATTCTCAGCGTGAGAGGCGAGGACAGCGGCACCTATACTGTTGTCGCTAGAAACGCGCTGGGTGAAGCTCAACTCTCCGCCAGCATGGTGGTGGAAAGTAAGTATCCACTTTCTCGTCTTCAGCTTCTACCATGTGGGTCGTCAAATTTAACAAATTGTTTAACTCTACCCCTTTTAATTACAGCACGCGCCAGCATTGACACAAGAAGCATGCACAGGACCGCGTACGAAAAAACGCAACGCATGGAGAGGCCTCCACATGTAGAACCCGAATATCAAATTGAAGAATTGTGTAAATCAAAACCGATCTTTGTCGTGCCACTATCTGATCCACAGCCACTCTCCGAGGGCCGAAATATTCACTTGGAGTGCCGATTGGAACCAATGGGCGATCCCACAATGCGAGTCGATTGGTTCTGCAACGGAAAACCGATAACAGTCGGTTCTCGATTCCGAACGTACTACGACTTCGGCTTCGTCGCCTTGGATATAATCCACGCGACCGCCTTAGACTCAGGAGAATACACAGTGCGTGCCACTAACCAACTGGGATCGGCCCACACATCGGCTTGTGTACGAGTCATAAGCCGATCGGACATCGTCACGGACAGTCAACACGAACAGTCACTGGAGCAAATACAAATGCTTGAGGATTCCGCTCGGCACCACAGACATACCGCTGAGGATGTCACAGTCATGCAGGCGCCTCAATTCACGCGACCCTTGCACAATATTGAAACAATCGAAGGTACCAACGTGCACATGGAATGTCGCCTGCAACCAGTCGGCGATTCCACAATGAAAGTGGCTTGGTTTGTCAACGGCCGCCCAATTAAGACTGGACATCGCTTCAGACCGGCTTACGACTTTGATTATGTAGCCTTAGACCTTTTGAGTGTGTACCCCGAGGACTCCGGGGTGTATACATGTCAAGCCAGGAACCAACTGGGAGAAGCCATTACTTCGTGCTCCGTAAAAGTGTTGGCCAAAAAAGATCTTCTTTTGGAAACTCAACACCCGGGTGGCTTGGAGAAGATTCAGTACTTGGAGGATGCGTCCAGATACAAACGTTCCGAGCACGTCGACGAGGTCATCAGTGTAAAACCAAGATTTGTGACGAAGCCCAAGAGTATGGAAAACATGCGCGAAGGTCAACACGCCCATTTCGAATGCAAGCTGGAACCGGTTACCGATTCCAATCTAAAGGTGGAATGGTACAAGAACGGGCGCCCAATCACCATTGGACACCGATTTAGACCAATACACGATTTCGGCTACGTCGCCCTGGATGTGATTGACCTAATCGCCGAAGATTCCGGCACGTACACCTGCCGCGCCGTCAACCTTGTAGGTGTCGACGAAGTTCAATGCTCGTTAAGCTGCAGCAGCTCGCGACAGATCATTACTGAGACCGTTCACGAACAAGGTTTGGAGAAGATTCACCACTTGGAAGACCGTGCGCGTTACCACCGCGCCGAGGTTGTGGATGAAGTGACCACTCAAGCTCCAATCTTCACGACGTCACTCAAAAATATCGAGATAAGAGAAGGGCAACGGGCTCACATGGAGTGCCGCCTGATTCCCGTTTCGGATTCGACGATGAAAGTTGAATGGTTCCACAATAACAAACCTCTGAAATCGGGTTCCAGGTTTACCGAGACTAATAACTTCGGTTTTGTGGCGCTCGACATCTTGTATACTTACCCTGAAGATTCGGGCACATACACTTGTAGAGCCACCAACGCGATTGGGGAGGCGGTCACATCAAGCGTATGCGTGGTCCATTCGAAGAAATCCATTTATTTGGAGACCGTCAACGAAAACGCCATGGAGCAGATTCAGCAACTGGAAGACCACTCCCGGTACCATAAACAGACTGCGCAAGAGGAGTACGTGTCTCAGGCTCCCGTATTTACTATGCCGATCAAGGATTTACGCGTTGCAGAGAACCAAGCCGCTCACTTTGAGGCACGCCTTATTCCCGTGGGCGACTCCAGGCTGAAAGTGGAGTGGCTACGTAACGGCGTGCCTATTCAAGCTTGTAAGTCACCTCCGAAGCTTTGCTCTTTAATACAGCGCCTTTTTTTTAAGCAAACCGCATGACCACGATGCACGATTTCGGTTACGTGGCCTTAAATATGAAGTACGTCAACCCGGAGGACTCTGGAACCTACACCTGTCGTGCTGTTAACGAACTAGGCGAGGCTGTAACATCCGCAACCCTTGCCGTGCAATGTAAGTAAGACAATATTGGCCCGAAATGTCGCCTGATTCAGATTTTGATTTTAGCAAAATCGTCACTGCAGCTTGAGACCCAGCACGAGGCGGCTCTACAGAAACTGCGCCAGCTTGAAGACTCGACGAAATACCAAAGGCGCGAAGAGGAAGAGGTGCTCGTCACCCAAGCGCCAAGTTTCACAACCCAACTGAATGGACCGACACAGTTGGTCGAAGGGCAAAGTGCTCATTACGAGTGCCGCATCGAGCCCTACCCAGACTCTTCGCTCAAAGTGGAGTGGTTCCACAACGGCAAACCTCTTACCACCGGTCACCGGTTCCGTACAGCTTACGACTTTGGGTTCGCCAGTCTAGACGTCCTTACCGTTTACGGAGAAGATGCCGGCGAATACACTTGCCGGGCCACCAATCGAATTGGTCAAGCCCAATCGTCCATAGTTACACAAGTCAAAAGTAAGTCAATTTGTAAGCTTTTTGTATTCTTGTATGATTGACGACATCACTTTTTGTTTGTAGCGAAAGCAAGTATCGTGCGGGACACCCAGCACGAAGGTGCCCTACAAAAGATTCAGTACCTGGAGGATGACTCCCGTTACAAGAAGACTGCAGTTGAAGATAGCTTGGTCATGGAAAAACCACAGTTTGGCAGGAGTCTCAAGAACATAGAACATTTAGCGGAAGGACTCAGTGCCCATTTAGAAGCAACGCTTACCCCAGTAAACGACCCGACCATGAAGGTGGAATGGTTCTGCAATGGACGACCTATCCAAACGGGTCACCGATTCAAAACCACCTACGACTTCGGTTTTGTTGCTTTGGATATCTTGTACGCGTATGCTGAGGATTCTGGTACTTACATGTGCAAAGCCAGAAATGCTGTAGGTGAAGCTGTGACAACAGCTTCTGTGAATGTTGTTGGTATGTATTCTTGCGTGTCCATTGGTGGGGAGATTAATGTGTTTGTTGTGCAGGAAAGTCCGGCTTACATCTTGAAACCTTGGACGAGCAGCGCTTGAAGAAGATTCGCGAACTTGAAAACTATGAGCGCCCTCAACGGCAGGAGATCGAAGCAGCTCCACAACGCCCCGTTTTCCTCACGCCTCTTACTAGTCTTGAAAACCTCAAAGAGGGAGAGCATGCCCATCTCGAATGTCGCGTCGAACCCATCAATGACGCCAACTTGAAAATCGAATGGTTCGTGAACGGAGTTAAGCTAAAAACCGGCCACAGGTTTAGAACAACTCATGATTTCGGATACGTCGCGCTTGATATCTTGTACACATACCCCGAAGATAGTGGTACCTACATGTGTAAAGCCACAAACTTGGTGGGAGAGGCCGTTAACACCTGCACAATTAAAGTCTTGGGCCACCGAAGTATCATTTTAGACACTCATCATCCCGAAGGTCTGCAGAAAATCCACGAACTCGAAGCGCAAGGTCGTCCAACGCGTCTCGAAATTGAGGAACCGGAGCCAACACCGCCAAGGCTAGTAACAGAACTGAGAGGCACCACCCACGTTTTCGAGGGCCAAACCGCCCACTTTGAAGCCCAAGTGGAGCCAATTCACGACCCTAACTTAAGAATTGAATTTTATCACAATGACAAGCCGCTGCCCTCAGCGTCCAGATTCCACATCACCTTCGATTTCGGTTACATTGCACTCGATATAACGCATTGCGTTCCCGAAGACGCCGGGCAATACTCCGTGAAAGCCATCAACAACCTGGGCGAATGCAAATCGAGCATTTCTCTAAAAGTGACAGCCCAAGGCAATATAATTATGGACTCGCAAAGGCCGGAGGGATTGGAAAAGATTCGCCAGTTAGAAGAGCACGTCCCCTACAAACGGCCAGAGATTGAAGAGCCGCAAACTCGCCAAAGGCCGGTCTTCACACAACCGTTGCAGAATATCGACAATATCTTGGAAAGCCAAACGGCTCACTTTGAATGCAGGTTGATCCCAGTAGGTGACCCCACTTTGAAAGTGGAATGGTTCCGCAATGAGAAGCCGATAGAAGACAGTTCTCGCATCACCAAAGTGCACGATTTCGGTTTCGTCTCTCTTGACATCACTCACGTGCGCGACGAAGACCAGGGTGTTTACATGTGCAGGGCCTCTAATGCACTGGGCGAGGCCGTGACCACGGCGTCTATGAAAATCAAAAGTGAGTCTCATTGGTAGGTTTGCGTTTCGTATCTATAGCCTATCATTTCAGCCAAAGCAAGCATACAGTTGGAAACCCAACACGCAGAGAGTATGAAGCGAATCCAACAGTTGGAACAGCCACTCGCTCCCAGAGCAGAAGAACCCGACCGCGTATTTGAAAAACCAGTCTTCACGCAGCTCCTGACTGGTCCAACAGAGCTTTGGGAAGGCCAGCACGCCCACTTTGAAGCTCGCGTTGTGCCAGTAGGCGATTCGAGTTTGAAATTCGAATGGTACGTTAACGGGGTGGAGCTGAAGCTCGGTTCCCGTTTCCGAGTTACTCACGATTTCGGTTTTGTAACTCTCGATATAATGTCAACGGTACCAGAAGATTCGGGCGTCTACACTTGCAAGGCAATTAACAAAGCAGGCGAGGCTGTGTCGTCGATTTCGATGAAGGTCAAATCGAGATCGCACATCATGCGCGAGGCCCTACAGCCTGACGCTTGGGAGAAAATTCAGCTGAAGGAAGCTGAGATGAATAAGGTGCCTGAGAAGTTTGTCGATTCGGCGCCCCAACAAGCCCCTGTATTCACCACGCATTTGCTCAGTTATGACCAGCTCGTTGAAGGTCAGCACGTGTATTTGGAGGCTCAGGTGGAACCCAGAGCCGATCCCAATTTGCGCGTGGAGTGGTACAAGAATGGTATCTCGCTTACAACCGGTACTCGCCTAAAGAGCACCTTCGATTTTGGACACGTGACCATGTCGATCAATGGGTTGCGTGGCGATGACTCCGCCATATACACGTGCAAGGCCACCAATCTAATGGGAGAGGCTGTGTCCACTTGCACTCTCAAGGTGCAAGATAAACACTGGCTTCTAGGACATTCTTTGCATCCTGATGCAATCCCCAAGTTGGAAGCCTTGGAAAGACCTCAAGATGAACGCCCTACTCATCCGGAACCGACTTACGAAGAACCAGTTTTCATATCCCATCTTAACAATGTGGAGTGCGTTGAAGGTGACAGTGCCCACTTCGAATGCCAAGTGGAACCATCCAAGGACCCTACAATGAAAATTGAATGGTTCGTTAACGGCAAGCCATTACCTAGCGGTTCCCGATATAAATCCACATACGACTTTGGGTTCGTTTCCCTTGACATCACCCACACTTACGAGGAAGATTCAGGAATTTACACATGCAAAGCGACTAATAGTAAAGGCTCTGCCAGTACCTCAGGCTCACTACGTTGCACGGGCAAACAAAGCATTTATCGCGACACGCAACATCCTCAAGGCAAGGTAGGCTTCGAGAAAGTTCAGGAGGTAGAAGACGAACTAGCTAACCGCTACCAGCGCCAAGCTTCAGGTCCTGATAGCCAATACCCCAAACCAATCTGGACCATACCTCTTAATCCCGAATTTAAGTTAATTGAAGGGCAAGCGCTTCATCTCGAGGCCACAGTCATACCAAAAGACGACCCGAATTTGAAAATCGAGTGGTTCGTCAACGGCAAGTCGCTCGATCATGGTTCTCGATTTAAATTATCAAACGATTTCGGATTCGTCACGCTGGATCTCACCGACATCTACGAAAGAGATCAAGGCATTTACACGTGTAAAGCCTCAAACAAGGCCGGTGAAGCATTTACATCTACGACCATCTACTGCAGCACCAAGTCCAATCTGATTGAACGCACACAACATCCCAAAGGAAAGGAGGGTCTTGAAAAGATACAGGACCTCGAAGATTCGTTGAAACGAGGCGAGGCCCCACGAATTGAGTCGGAGGAGGGACACGCCCCTGTGTTCACCTCCGAGTTTACGAACCTCGTCAATCTTAGTGAAGGGGAAATTGCTCATTTCGAAGCGGGACTTACACCAATCGGCGATCAGACCATGGTCGTTGAGTGGTTCTACAATGGAAAGACGATCGCTGCCAGTCACAGGCTGAGAACAGTACACGCGTTCGGTATGGTGGTCTTGGAGGTGCTCGGTACCAAGATTGAAGATTCGGGTACCTTCACGTGTCGCGCGGTTAACAAGTGGGGAACCGCGGAACAAAGTGTTACCTTGCAATGCGTCGACAGGTACAGCGGGCAGAAACCCAAATTCACCACGCACATCAAAGATATTGTCGGACTTAAAGATGGGCAATCGGCGCACTTTGAGTGCACCGTCGTTCCAACAAATGATCCCAACTTGAAGATCGAATGGTTCCACAATGGTCAAGCCATTCTTCAGTCGTCGCGAATCAAGACCGTTTCCGACTTTGGCTTTGTCGTCATGGACATTTCCTACATTCAAAATCACGATTCCGGTGAATACGTCTGCAGGGCTAGCAATAAGTTTGGTGAAGACTTTACTCGCGCATCTATCTCGGCGCATGGACGAAGTGGTGTGTTTACGGAGAGCTTGCAGCCCGACTCCCTTGCTAAAATACGAGAACTCGAGAGTTTACAAGGACAACAACAGCAGGCACCTTCCACGCCGGTAACGGAACCGCCTAAGTTTATCACGCAAATTGCGGACATTAAGCGCCTGGTCGAAGGCCAAAGCGCACACTTCGAAGCTCGCCTCACGCCAGTCACCGATCCCGACTTGGTGGTTGAGTGGTACTACAATGGCAAGAAATTGCCTCACGGTCACAGATATCGTACCTTCCACGATTTTGGCATAGTAATCTTAGATATTCTGTATTGCTACGAAGAAAACTCTGGAACATACGAATGCAGAGCTTACAATAAGCACGGAGAAGATTCTACTAAGGCAACAATGACGTGCGTCTCGAAGGTTAATTTAATCCTGGACTCGCAACTACCGCGGGTAATTATAATGATCGTGTAGTTAGCGCAGATTTACAGTGATTTTGCAGGGCATGGAAGGAGGTTTGGAGAAAATCCAATCTCTAGAAGATTCACACATTCGCAAAGAAGAAGCAGTGGTCGAGGAGAAAGGCAAAGCTCCAGTGTTCACTGTTCCGTTATCTAACATTGACAGCCTTCGAGAAGGAGAAAACGCTCACTTTGAGGCGAGACTAACACCAACTGACGATCCCAAACTTAAGGTGAGTTTTCTTCTCGCCGCGGTGCGTCTAATTGTATCGTTATAGGTTGAGTGGTTCTGGAACGGAAAACCTCTGAGGACCGGTTCCAGATTCCGCACCTTCCACGATTTCGGTTTTGTGATATTAGAAATTTCGCCCGTCTACCCCGAAGATTCCGGTGAGTATTCGTGTCGGGCGACCAACGATTATGGTGAGGCGGTCACTTCGTCCACGATGAAGGTGCAAGGAAAGAGAAGCATTATATTGGAATCTCAGCTGCCTAAGGGAATGGAAGGTACGATTGATCGTATTGCTGAACTTGAAGGGTTAGGGGTTGCGCCAACTCCTTCGTCACCCGAAGAGGACTCCGGAAAACCACCGGAATTCATTACCACCCCATCTGACTTGACGCTATCTGAAAACAACCTCGCCCACTTTGAGTGCCGGTTGATTCCGGTGAACGATCCCAGCATGAGAGTGGAGTGGTTCCATAATGGCAAGGCGCTTTGGGCTGGGTCGAGAATAAAGACAATTAACGATTTCGGGTTCGTTATTCTTGAAATCGCCGGAATTTACCAACGTGATTCGGGTTTATACACTTGCAAGGCGACGAATCGGCACGGTGAGGCGACAGTTTCGTGCAAGCTGCAAGTACGTGGTCGCCAAGGTATTGTGCTCGAACCACAGTTACCCACCAACTTCCGTACAGGCACGGAAAGTATTCAAAAACTTGAAGAAATATTGCACAAAAAAGATGAAATAGTTTCCGAAGATGAAACACCCCATCCTCCCAGATTTATCGTGGAGGTTAAAGACAACTTAAACGTACCTGAGGGTGGCCCGATCCACTTCGACTGCCGCGTGGAACCGGCTAACGATCCCACAATGAGAATCGATTGGTTCCACAATGGAAGACCTTTCGCCACAGGTTCGCGTGTTCACCAAATCAATGATTTCGGATTCATCGCTCTTGATATGGACTATTCCTATTCGCGTGATGCTGGAGAGTACATTTGCAGGGCGACCAACAAATGGGGCTCTTGCACAACTAAGGCTACTGTGACCTGCACAACCAAACAAAGCATCGATACCGAATCCCAGTTGCCTTCAGGCATGAGTGCTGAGAAGTTGAAAGAGCTGGAAAAGGGCGGACCAACGTCTGCGCCCATCAAGGAAGACGTTCCAATGGGACCTCCCAAGTTTATCACTCAAATCGAATCTTCAACGGTCGACGAGGCGGAATCCGTACATTTCGAATGCCGCGTGGAACCCAAAGAGGACCCCAAGTTACGAATTGAATGGTACCGAAACGGTAAACCTCTGCCGATGGGTCATCGTTACAGGAACATCTACGATATGGGTTTCGTTTCCTTGGACATCTTGTACGTCTACGCTGAAGATTCCGGGGAGTACGTCTGTCGAGCGGTTAACGACTACGGCGAGGACTTCACCCGTGCCAATATCTCATGCAAGCAGCTACCTAACATCATTTTGCAAAACCAGGTACCAAAAGGCATGAAGAGATCAGAAACCCTCATGCAAATGGAGGCCGCCATTAAAAAGTACACTTCCGAAATTCACTTGACCGAACAAGACCTCTTTGACGCCGACAAAAAGCAACCTCCAAGATTTGTGACTCAAATTAAAGATCAAACCGAGCTCGTCGAAATGGAGATGACCAAGTTCGAGTGCCAACTCGCGCCTGTAGGCGATCCCAATATGAAGGTGGAGTGGTTCCTGAATGGAAAACCTCTCCCACACAGTAAGTTTTTCATTTATACGATTTGTGCGTGCTTAGTTTTCGTTTCAGAAAACCGTTTTACGCCGATTTACGACTTTGGCTACGTCGCCATGAACTTCGGTTGGGTTTACCCGGAGGATAGCGGCGAGTACCTCTGCCGAGCTACCAATCTGTACGGTATGGACGAGACTCGGGCCATTATTCGAACAGCTGGTAAACCGGGTATTATTTACGAGTCGCAACTGCCGAAGGGAATGAAGAGTATTGAAAGAATTCGAGAGCTGGAAGCCGCGTGGCAAGTGTAAGTGTAGGCTGGAGTGAGAGATAGACGGGTGTGATTTGAGGTGGTTTGCAGGGTACCCGAGGATGTGCAGGAGGAAAGCAAGCCCAAAACCGCTCCTGTGTTCGTGAGCAAGCCGGAGGAGTGCAGCGTGGAGGAAGGTGGATGGGCCAGATTTTGCTGTCGCGTGACCGGCCATCCTCGCCCACGAGTCATGTGGTTGATCAACGGAAATACCGTGGTGAATGGATCGCGGTACAAGCTCACTTACGACGGAATGTACCATATGGATATACCAAAAACTCGCCAGTACGATACTGGAAAAGTTGAAGTTATCGCCCGAAGCTCCGTGGGCGAAGCAATCGCCACGACGGAATTGAAGGTCGTTCCAAGGCACGATGACTGGAGGAACGTGTTGAAGAATGCACCAAGACGTGAGTTTCTTTTAAACATAGGGGTTTAGTAAGCAACTCGTTGCTTATTAAACATGCATATGGTAATAGCGAAAGGGGGGAGGTGCAACAAAATTTGAAGGAACTCATCTAACACTTGCACTTGGAAAATGTCTTTTCTGGCGCCTCACGAACGTAGTTGGGCGTTCAGAATAGATCATCAGCTTACTGGATGAACTGCAAAATCCCCTCATTTACTATTATATCTTATGAAAGTTTTGCCATACCATTGATTAAACTTGGAAAAAGTGTTGGCCCAGTTTAATCAAAGGTGGTACACTACAACAGTCAGCACAAGTACATACCAGATGCCTCGCACTCTCACTATCAACAGCAAACCATGCACATACTCGTACCTTAGTACGAAATAATCATGTACAAGCAGGCTAACTCAATTAACACAGAACTATTCGATCACTACTTATTATACTCCCACCCCTCATCCTCTCCAAGATGCTTGGACGCCATAGATCGGCCTGTCTTGTTTCATGCTTCACGCATTGGAGGACCATTTTGAGGTATGCGATTTCAAGTAGGTATTCCGTATATCCTTGTCAAAACGTTGATGTTTTGCATGAAGTGCAGATGTAATACTTGTGCTCGTAGTGTTCCGTTTGTAACAAAAAGCCGATCACTAACTTTCATTTGTTCAACTATAGCTTGGTACGATATTGACTCTGGCGAACCTCAAAGAGATCGCTCAGATACTGAGCTGGAGCGCATATTCGACGAAAGAAACGCGGCTTTCCAGGAATCAGGTCGGCAGCACACCGTTCACATACAGCCGAAGGTGTTCAAGGAGCCAGAAACCGAGTGGCAGCAAAGCGTGCGACAGAAGAAAGGCGAAGATTACTACAGCAAATTGCAAGGTGTGGAGAACGATCAGGTTACCAAGGAGGTGAAGCTCCGCGAATCCACGCATCAGTTCGCCATTCCCGGCGAAAAAGTCATGCAAGGTTCCATGGCCAAAGGCATGGCGCAGAGATACCAAGAGAATTTGTAAGTCAAAAGCGCACCGTTTGTAGTTCAGCTGTTAATTTCTTGCGATTTTAGGGAGTACCAGCCGGAGGAACATGATCAGGCACCCATTCCAACCTTACCGAAGGGAACAGTACCGCATGCGCAACAAGTCCAACTGCGCAAAACGGAAAAAGGCAAAGAGTTTTTGCACCGTACCGATGTTATGGAGATAGACTCCAAAAAGGGCGCCTACCCTCCGGAGCCGACCGAGTCTACGGTGCACGGAAGGGAGACACACGTAACTAAACAAAAGCAAACCCAAAAGGAAACCAAGGGCGACAAGGAGATTACCCGACATATTACCGCAACGGAAACCACCGATGTTGAACACAAAGCGAAGGCGCACGACCGCGTGGTTCAAGGGCAAGTCTTGCCGTCCACGCCTCCTGTTTTCACCAAGAAGATACAACCATGTCGTGCTTTCGAAAACGACCAAGCGCGCTTCGAAGTCGAATTCGACGGCGACCCGCTCCCAACAGTCAAATGGTTCCGTGAAGATTTCCCGATCAAGAGCTCACCCGATTTCAAGATCTACACGTTCAGCACCAAGTCAATCCTGGTGATCCGACAAGCGTTTATGGAAGACTCCGCCGTGTTTAGCGTTATCGCCGAAAACCGAGGCGGTACGGCCAAATGTAGCGCAAACCTTGTCGTGGAGGAACGCCGAGCGCAAGCTAGGGGAGGCAAAATCCCGCCCAGTTTCGTCACGACGGTACAAAGTGCCAAGGCTAACTCGGGCCAGCTAGTCAGGTTCGACGCGCGGATCAACGGCACTAAGCCCCTAGACGTCTACTGGCTAAAGAACGGGAAACGAATCGCCGCAGACATCCGTAATAAAATCCTGGAGGAAGACGGAATCCACACCCTTTTAATCATCGAGGTTGTGCCCGAAGATTCCGGAAAGTACGAGTGCGTTGCGATTAACAGCGCAGGCGAGGCGAGGTGCGAGGCCGAGTGTACAGTTCAAGCACCCTCGACCCCAGCCAAACCCTCCAAACCCACCACTCCCGGCGCCGAAAAGTCGCCTTCGGTCATCGAGCCCTTGAAAGACCAAACCATTCGCGAAGGCCAGTCGGTCGATTTCAAGTGCAAAATTAGCGCCAAACCCGCACCCCAAATCAAATGGCAGAAGGGGGAGAAGATAATTAAGCCGTCCAAGTACTTCCAAATGTTCAAAGATGGCGAACAGTACACGTTGAAGATCTCCGAAGCGTTCCCTGAAGATGAGGGTGTATATAAATGTGTCGCGACCAATCCGGCTGGAACTGTCACCTTGCAAGCCAACCTTCGCGTGCTCGCCCCTGATAGCCAAGACGTTCTACCCTCACTGACGCCACTCAAAGATGCCATCGTACCTGAAGGATCGCCCGCGCAGTTTAAGACGACCGTTTCTGGAAAACCAAAACCGACCATTCAGTGGTTACGAGAAGGCTTCCTTATACCCGAATCTCCAGACTTTCAGGTAATTAGGCACTTTTTTTATGTACTAACTTAGGCCTTATTGATTTAATTCCTTTGAAACAAAGGCGATAGGCAACTTTCAAAACGCCAAATTTTTGGATCAAACTCCGGGAAAAGTCTTTATAATAGTCTGGGTCGTTATACCACAGGAAGTGTACAGAACATAACTGCTGGGACATAATTTATAATTATAGAAATCGTGTCTGTTTAATCCGTCATCAGCTGTGCATGTAAACTCACGGTCGTAATTAAAACTGCGATTGGCTTCCCTCCAAAAGAAGCGGAAACAAAAAGATCGTTATAAATTCTAGACAGTAACAATTATAACAATATTTTTGGGCGTTGCTATACGGTATGTGAACATTGGTTTCGAGGGGGTTATTTATAGCGCGGAATTAAATTGTAACGAAAATAGAAAGATGGAATCGGTTGCATTTGAAACTCTTTTTATCTGAACTCAAGTATATTGCAAAAAATTGACGTCAGTTCACTTACTCCCTTATTCTATTAAGCAGTAAGGTTCACAGAAGGGGTAACGACTATAAAGTTATTTTGCAAGTCGAAACGGCCCTTTGATCCTTTAATTGCATATTAAGAGTTTGAGTTTTGAAATAGTGGCTAGTTTGCTCTTACGGCGAAAAATGTTATTACAACGCACAATAGCGCATAACTCGCATAACTCCACGACTAATAAAATGATCGAGATGATTAGGACTATCTGTATTGCTTTTAGGGCGCAAAATACTAAAATAATCCTTCCGATTGGCGGAGTGTGTGCTTTACCTTTGGTTATTACCATGGAAACATTTTATTTCGACGTCAAAAAGCAGCGCATAATTTGTGCTTAATAAAAAAATAGGTGGTAGAGTCGCAGAAGTGAACTTTATTTTAACGTCATGATCACAGAAGCTAAATTTGAATTTTTGTAACGGTTGACGGAGGGTAATTGAAATTTTGTTAAGGTCTGTTCAGGCGCAAAATTTCATTCTAGGACTCACACGCGCATACGAAAAGGAACGTGTCGACTGAACTTTTTGTGTTTTTTTTATCTTTATTTCAACAGCGCACAACTCGCGCTTAATATTAGCATGAAAGAGACATTTATTGTTCGAGAAGGAAAACTACCCATACGAGTAGAATTCTTCTACAGGAGCATAGCATATACTTCCATTGGAGTCAAAGGGCGCATAATATGCAGATACGCTAAAAATGATTTTCATAATAGTCTAGGTTCTTTAGAGTTAGGTAACCAGGAAAATTAAAATTTTGTTATACTGAGTTTATAAATCGCTGAGCGCATAAAACTGTATTTCTTGCTTAATGTATACGTAAAAAAGCATAATTCGCGCTTATATTTTACTTAAAAAATTGGTTAAAGAAAATTTCAATAGCTGCTACTATAGCCGTATCGGGGGAATTCTTGTTGTTGATGTTACACCGTTGGCTTAAAAGGGCGCATAGCTTGCGCTTGATCACTACATATGCAAACAACTTTTGTGAAAACGGGTCAGGGTCAGTGGTCAGTCCAAATGCAATTTTGTTGCAAAAAGTAACAACATTCTAAAGAAACTCTTTCTGTTTTGCTCGTGGCGCACAAAACCTGTTTCGTCGGCGCACATTAGTGAATACCTCGCGCTTAATATAAATCTACATTTAAAAAATGGATTTGTGAATTTTACTTCTAGAAACTTACCGTGTCAATGTAGTCATTGAATGGAGCGCTAAATTTCATTAGCTTGATCGGCGCATAGTCAAGAAATATTTACAAAATAAACCAGGATTCGTAAGGTTTTCCAAGTCAATAGGAATTCACGGCTTGTTTCCTGTTGAGACGCAACATTTCATCCTAAAAAGCAGAATTGTTGGAGCACTTCAATGACGTAAAATGGCGCATAGTTTGCGCTTGATTGGCCCATAAGCAAACATTATGCAGTATGTAACACGTTAACACATCGGGAGCTGGAACTAGCGGTTTTTGTATATGCGCTCTTTCCGATTTTGTGAGCACAATGTTTCAAAAATTCCTACTCCCACCTATGTGAAGGAGTAAAATTTTACATTTTTCGGCACATTTGATGTATGTATCTTTGAACATGGAAATCCGAATCCAAAGTAGCTTGTGAATAAAAATCAACTGCAATTCTTGGACTATTTTCAGGGGCGCAGAAATATACAAAAATTACTTCACTAAATTCATTCAACTCCTATATTAACGCGTTATACTAAAACAAGTATAAATTGTGCACAACTCTTGTGCAGATAAAGCGCATTTTTTAAACCAAAATAGCTTTTGTTTTGACATCACCAATGGATATATTTCTTGCAGACGTATCAATCGCCCTTTGTGAGTACCCTCTTCTGACAATCCATTCTTGAGGTATAAGGGAATATATCCGATCCTGATAATAGGTCGAGGAGGAGGGCTATGCTTGGTAGAAATTAATTCCTTTCGTTGAGACCTTTAATTAGAGTATCATGAAGGATAAAACTAGTTCCACCCCCTTCCCCTCTACCCCGTACTTTGATAAGAGGACAGAAAGAAGGGCAATAGTTGGTAGAAAACGGTTCCTTTCGTTGAGATCTTTAATTAGAATACAATGAGAGATAAAATTAATTTTTAACCCCCCCTCCCCTCCCTCTCCTCAGGCCCCTCGCTCACTGATCTCGAAAAAGAGTCGCACGGGAAAGTTGTACTTTGTACAAACCAATTTATTTCGATGAGACCTTTCGTTAGAATACCATGAAGGATAGAACATGTGTTTAACCCCCCCCCCCCCCCCCCCCAATTTTCTAAAGTTTAACTTGGAACCACTAAAGGCATGCGTATGCAAAATCTGAGACCTTATTGGTTGTCGTATGTAAAAGTTATGCACGTTTACTTTCAAAAACAGCATGTCAGGAAATAATTCGCAGGGGGGGGGGGGCTTTTAGACAGC